GAAACAGGAGTCTAGTGCTTCTGAGTGTATGGTTGACTGGAAAAGCCGAGGAATGTGCACGAAGTTTGAAGGATGGTCGGTTCCAATTAATCAGTATCAACCACACTACTCACTACTAACTGTTAGTTAAACGCGAATCAAGGATATCGTTGTAGTCATAAAACTCAAATTGATTTAAATATCGTCCAGCTGTATGGACTCAGTTGATGAACACTTGTGACAAGTATGGTGCTGTATGACAGTATTCCCTTACGGAGATCGGGGGCCCTATTCTCATTTAAAATAATTTTGATCTGTTACCTTCACAAACCTCGTTTCATGAATGTGCTACGTTTTCTTACTTCGTTTTATGTGTAAATCTATCCAGCTTGAGCGACTGCGGTTTCACGGGCCTCATCCCCATGTACGTGAATCAGTGTTCAAATTTGATTGAGTTGAATCTGTCCGGTAACGCCTTGTATGGATTCCCACGTTGTTTACATTTGTCGAAATTGAAGCGTTTGAATTTGCGTGCCAATCCTCGTCTGTTGCGACCCAATCCGTCCACCGGCGTAGTAGAGCCTCCTCTTGTGGAACAGTTTCCTCGGTTGGTTTCTCTTGAGCTCGATCCACAACTCGCTGAGGTGAGTTTCTCAGTTTCATACACTTGAGTCTTATGTTGATCTTAAGATCTCTAAGAAAGATCTACTCCGCGCCACACGTTATCGAGTGTTATCTTGGTCTGTCAGGTCTCCTCACCGTCGTTCTTTTCAGTACACTACCACTCATATCTTACTGGAGTTTCATACGATTTCTCACTACACTTCCTAAGGCCTGTATAGTCAGCCTCCACGGTTGTATAGTAAGTTTACTGGACGATGAGCTCCATCCTTTCTATTGCTCATCAGTACACTGATTTGCGGCGAAAAACATTACCCCCAGTGGATGGTTCTATGCTCGGTCGAGATGCGGAATTAATAAGACACTTGTGAGATGTTCAAAGTGAGTCATTTACTAGATGCCGCTCAGCACGGGAAGTAATGCGATATGTTTTCAGTATGTGGTGTAATTCAGTGTGAGACCGACTGCTCCAACTCCAGACATCGTAGCTTTTCAGTGGTTTTCATCATCGGTCGGCAACCCCCAAGGACGTTTACTGCTACTTCTCTCCACGAAAATATCACTTTTAGTGGTTTCACAAATTTTAACACAAGGCTTTCTTGGACAGGAATTGACTAAGATCGGAGTTATTATATTACATAACTGGAAGTCCCGTTCTATATTTTTCAACGTCATACAGATGTATTTCATCCTATCCGTCAGGAGTGCCCATATTTGCGGCACTGGGTTCAGCATTGATCTCCGCCCCTTCAGTGTAGTATTAACCTATCATTTTCGTCATTTGATAAATGAAATGACGATCTTAACGCATTCCTTGCCTGTTCTGTTCTTCATAGCTTTTGTGCCGCCAATCTATTGCCTACTTGTGTCCGTATCTGAAGTCGATCAACGGAGAGGAATTCACAGAGGAACCGACTGATGAAACCATCAAAACGATTCAAGCCGTAAAACATCAGCTATCTGGTTTGGTGAGTTTTGAATATCAGTCGGTTGTGCATATTGTACACGTGCAAACGTTCAATATGAGGAAAATTTGATGAAAAAACAATATTTCGTTGCATAGCAATACACAACTGCCTATTTGCATGACTTATTTAGTAGTGCGAACGTAAACGTCGAACTCTGAATCAAAATCAAAGTTAATTTTTTTATTGTGGGAATTGCTCACAGTCTTCTTTTTCCTGCAGGATATTACCACAATTTAATCGTTTCATTGTGAAAAATGAGAAATGTCACATTTTTCCGGGTACAAAAATATCACACTATGTTGCCTTCTTAAATTTATTTGGTTTCACTAATGATGAAATATGAGCTCTATACGCGTTTCCTTACATCCCTTGAAGGATTTGGCAGTTGCCACTCGAACAACTTGAGACGCAGGAGCGTTTCAAATGGTGTACACTCGGGCAGTAAAGAGTTGATACCAGGAGTCCAGCAGAAATTTTCAAAAGCATCAACCGTAAGAATTGTCCACCGAGGTATATTTTAGGCGACAGTCTGAGCAACGGCTACATAGAAGGGTTCAGTGGTATTTTCCACATCAAAATCAAGTCTCCTCGAATCCGACGGTCCCGAGTCCTAATTATTGTAATCTGTCCTCATAGGTAAGGGAGTACATACCCTAAATCGTCTTGGTAACTATCTTTTGGGACTGTTCGTGATCACCTTGTCATAATCCCCGGGCTTCGATGGCATACTTTGTTCAAGGTCGAACTTACGTTGATAGCAGATAGATGTAGAAACAGTGTTGGTGCAAACAGATCAAACGTACGCTGCGGACGATTCCTCAGGCGTACTCTATCCAATGGACGAAGTCTTCTTGAACAGTGATGCCTGGATCCTTTTAGGCTATTCGATTGCTGATTTTCGATAAAATATGGGGTAGACTCGTTTGGTTTGGGATAATACTTTGCATTTGAAAACATTTTATTCGATGTCATTCTCAATAGACCATTGATAAGATTGCTCTGAGTTTTTTCTGGAGTTTTACTCAGCCCTCAAGTTTGTACTGTCTTCCGGTGGTGCAAGCAAGAGGTATCTCGTACAATTTGGAAGCGAGAAGAACTAGACAGATGAGAAAGACGGATTTTAGAAAGGTAACTAAGAGGCACGGCATACTTCGCGGTATCTCATACCGATGAAGCGGGTTTTTCTTTTGGAACCCTAACCGAAGCCTGCGACTCAAAAGTCTGACCCACAAGACAGTGGGGCGTAGATCCAAGGCTGGATTGTGACCGCAGCACCCGTGTAGTATCTTCTGGGGACCTGTCACGCAAGGAATTTGGGGTTCTGTTCAATGTATTGTTCGCTGGTGCGTTGATTATCGGCCCGCTGTACGGGATAGGCCTTTAGCCTCATGCATCCATTGAGACGAGTGGAACGTGGACGGGACAGCACCTTATTGGCTGGGGCGGCCCAGCTTCGGCGAACGATAGCTGTCTAATGAAGTGGGAAGACTTCTCCCATCGTCGAGAGGAAGCCCCAGGTACCCCGCTCCTACGTCCATTCAATCATCAGAAGGAAGCCTTATGTGGCTCACTATTCCAAGTCTCGGGGATCAGGTTGCCGGTTACCATCACTGAACAGATCTTCGCGACTATGGGGTCCGTCCCGTCTGCTGTTCATCACACACTGGTGTGTAATAAAAACGGTATCCCGCTATGACACCTATCTACCTGTTTTGTGACCGGTAGACTGCCTCTCTCCGTGTTTATTTGCTGGAGTGACCTGTTCAAGGGCGTCAGTGGATAAACAAAGGAAACCTGGAGGTGCCCAAGGATCTGGCCTTGTGAAACTGAGCTTCGTTTGGCCTCTACCCGTTGATCTTTTAGGCATGATTAGATCTGCGACTGTGAGAAGCCATCCTGTATAGCTCGCAGGGTTATGGAGGCACGCAACAGATCGGACTACGTCAAGGTGCAGTCTCGTCGTCTATACGGATTATCTAGCTTCACTTTGACTCTGCTCTCAGCATTCCAATGTTCATTCTGCTCTTATCCAAACGGGACACCAAAAGGCAGCAACCAAAATCGGCGCATGATAATGCATAGTTAATGGTTGTGAAAACTGAAACTGAAACTGTATTCCGGGTTCCGATATCATATGCACACAGTTTTGTCTTAAGTCCTGGAGCGTCCAGAAGATCATTCATGATCGTGAGGAACTGTAGGTGACCGAGCACGGATTCTAGTGAAACTCTCACTGATTGAACCTAACAGTTAATGTATTTGTACAACTGCTTGGGGTGAGAGATAAATCTGTGCCAGTGACTCTTGGTTCATCGGCTTATCTTCACACATCAGCAACCAAAACAGGCACACGAAAGTGCATGGTTAATGGTTTTAAGAACTGAATACATCAACCTGGTACAATGTAATCTTGGCATTAGACATCCCAAATAACGACTTCCGAAAGCGGCTTGTACTATCGCCAAGACAGCTCCCTCGCAGATATTCATTTCATCTTGCGAATTCGAATCGGTGAAGTTCAGATCTTAGATTTGATGATGAATTTACTTTTGGTCACTAACAGATCGGTGTTTGCCCAAAGAAACTTCGGTTTTAGTGTCAGTCAAACGTTGTTCTCTCAGACTTCAGATTAGGCTATCGACTACTCTGGAAAGAGAGCAATCCAAACGGAATCATAGGTTTATTCACGGAATATATTCACAATTTATTTAATTTATTTTCACACGTCTGAGTTCAGACTGTGTGTCAAACAACAGTTTTTATAAAAAGAAAAGGTGCACGATATGCTCTTGGGCGCGACACTGCAAGGTTGCCTAGGCCAGAACAGGTGAATATCCTTGGGGAATTCACTATCGGAGCCTTAGGTTCACCAAAGCCTGACTGTCAAGGTAGCGGGGCGGTGTGATAACCGTAATTTATTGGGCGCCGGTGTCCATTTCGTCGGATCATACACCATTTAGACGGAGTCAAACATCCAAAGTGCCAACACACCTCTATACCTTATCGAGCCGGTGACCACTAATACGACCAGGCAGGTGTGTGCGTGATTCGTACGCCCCTTCTTAGTCAACTCCATTAGATGAACTGCCAGTGTTTCATCGACTCGGTTATAGCCTCGGACATTGGCTTTTTGTGTTATCACCTCGATGAGAGAACACCTTCGCCATGAGAAGATAGTGAATAGGGCTTCCTCAGTAGAGTCTGTTTGAGACGCTTGATCGTGTTGGAGCATTTCGCGAGGTGCGAAGGAGATGTGTTCAGTTGCCATTCGAGCCACCCACTCGCAATCATGCTGAGACTTTCCAAAGCCTACAGTCCTTTAGTTTTTCGGTTTGGGTAGATTCGTGCGGATCATGGCTAAACAATGTTGTTCATGCGCTTTTCTCCACTGCCAGTGGCCTTCCTTCCTGACTGATCGGTTTCATTTAGGGCATGATGCTCTGGAACAGTGTTTGGGTTCCTCATTGTTTTTCGCACATTCAGTTTACTTGGGCAGTGCTACTTATAGAGGAGGCTTCGTTGGTCACTAGATCAGAGCCTTCAGAGAAACCTGAAAATTCATGGCAGCCATTGTCTTCTAGTGGTAAAGTCGCAGGCTACAACCAAATCGATTCAAGTATTCCGATTTCTCGCTCACTGGTTTCCATAATCTTCGTTGTTTTACGGAAATGGTCGGTTTTCATTTCATTCTCGTGTAATAGTCTATCTTTCTTCTCTTTGACCCTTTCTATCCGTAGTTTGATGGCACGTTTGGGGACAAACAGCTATCATACTAGGGCTCGGTGCAATTTGAAGTCTGTAAAAAATGAAGTTTTTCAGGTGTATTGTATATCTCCACTAGGTACCATACTTTCTGATGACAACAAAAAGCCTTATATCACACCCGTTTTCATCCTCCTCTAAAGTATTTCACCCTATATTTTCGTGTACCTTTTTAATGAGGTCATCTTCCGTCCAAAACCGCTACACTCATTGGGTTTTCATGGATTATGCAGTTTCCTCATAACGGATTTGCACCACTCGCTGAGTGTGATGGACAGTCGATTGTACTGGTCAAAATGATTCAATCGAATTAGTAGTCTCGAACTTCGGTTTTTATACTGATTTCATAGACAACCGCTCACTCCTTTCGTGCTCCAGTGTCGTTTGTAGTTAAATGGACATGATTGAATCATGTGATTGGCTCGCTGCCTTGAAAGTGAAAAGCTTCCTTAGAATGTTTATCGAATAATGCAGACCCATTTCCCCCCAAAGGCCTCGTTTTCGATTGAGAATCGTAACGAAAATATTTTAATAGAAGTCTGCTACTCCGTTTTGATACGACCGCTTCATGTTGAAACAAAATGATGTTTTCATAATTTCATTGTTCTCTTGTTTTGGCGATAGATATACTCAAAATGGGAGGACGATATTGCTGGTTTCTACAAAAAGGGTTTACCGAAGCGGGATGCGATCCGCGTTATTGAAACTCTTGTGCTGCATGCTGTGAAAAGAACAAACGATTTGGGAAAACAGTTTTCGCACTGCGCAAGTATTTTGGTATGTTTCCTTTCAAATGTGTTACCCAGTAAGACGATTGCTCTCTTTTCTGGTTTTCATTTTGAATCCGAAAAAAAACTACTGATTTGTAACCACCGCCATTCGATGGTCGTCAGATNTATATATATATATATATATATATATATATATATATATATATATATATATGTGTGTGTGTGTGTGTGTGTATGTGTGTGTGTGTCTAAGAACTTTTTCCAGCTGTCTACTGACTACCGTCTTCAATGGTGCAATATTATTGCTAAATCATTCCAGGGCAAGTTGGTGTTTGGATCCCGAATGTGTTCATCGCATCGGGTGTATTTCGTTATGCGGGCTAGTTGAATTCCCTTTTCGCTCCAGGAGCTTCTTTACACACTCACCTTTAATACGACGCTCCAATTCGCCCGATTCTCGAATGCTACAGTCACGTGTAAGGTTTGGCCTCGTACTTTGCTCTTTCTATTCTTGACCGTGTTCAACATAAGGCCACCCACTGACTAAATGCAGTCGCTTTCACATCGCTCGGAATTTGCTTTGCCATCTCATTTCAGCCGTTACTATTTTTTCTTGTTTTTAATAACCCACTTCCCATCCGCTCGACCATTTTATTCTTGGGCGAGCGATCACTCTTATCAGCTTTATCGACCCAAACGTCGGACTTTTATTTTCCGGTCCTTTTTCCAAAACTGTAAAATAGCAGAGCACTTCCCGTCTTTCTCAGCTGTCTTAGTCCCCTGTTTGCAACCACTTATAATCTTACTCTTTGAAAGCAGGATAAAAATTGGTCTTCAACTTAATGTTCACCCACACACACCATCTCAACAATACGTTTTTGACTACGGGGTTTGTCTTTTTCTGCTATAGATCTTTTTGGTTGTAATAAAAAAAGTTAACCGATTTTCCAGACAGAAGAGGCCATTGCTTTATGTGGTTTAACTCGTCGTCGATGCAAATATCAAACAACCAGGTTTCGAAGTCGTAAAGCCGATAAACTATTCTTTTTGGGCTGCACTCATTGTTGTCATGAAATAGCCGAATGGAGTAATCCCTATTTATTCTGATTACTCATTTGGATTGAATGACATATAAAACGACCACTGGTAACCAATACTGTCCGCCGATTATATCTTCTACGCGATGTTCTCCTTAGGATCGCAGTGGGTGATCCAACGATGTAGTCAATACGATGGATCGATCGATCGCATCTGAAAGCTGGTTAATTTTCAGGTTCATCCGACACAAATTTTATATTGGTCATCCAAGGTTAGGCCTCATGAAGATCAAATTTTAGAAAAGCTTCAGAAGTTTGTAATTTTGAGAGAAAAAGCCAACAGGGAAAGTCATGTACTTAACTAGTTCCCGGACATAGATGGATAATCAGACAAAGTCAAAGTTTTATTATGGGTATTACTTACAAGCAGATGCTTTTCTTGTCCCATAGGGTGTTAAAACGAGTTGAACTGTTACAGTGATGAACAAAATTCCGTATGCTGCATTTGGTTGTGTTTTGTGTTCTCATGGATGTTGGAATGCAGTGTTTTTTAATGATTCGTCAAGTTTTACCTTGAAAGAATCTATAGTCTCGGCACATACAACATGAGCTGGTAGGGAATTCCAGGCAGTGCACACTCTGACGGCAAAGGAATGACGTCGGCAATCCAGTCGAGATTTTTGGAGTATCAACTTGAATGGATGTCCCCGTAGATGATCGTTTGACGACAACGTCAGAAGTCGGCGACAAGGGTGGTTTGGGCTGTGTAATATTTGGTACACGAAAATCAAGTCTCCTCGAATCCGGTGATACTGAGCAGAGTATAGATCCAACGACTGCGTTCTCCCTATGTATGAATCATGATAGAGTCCTTTGACCATCTTCGTGGCTAGCCTTTGTGGACGTTCCAAGATCTTATGATCACGTCGTAAACAGGGGTTCCAAGTTTGGATGGCATACTCAATATGCGGCCGGATGTATGCTGACAACAGA